GGGGTGGGGTCAAATTCGAAGGTGGTAAATTTCTCCGCTTTTCTGATGTCAAATAAACTGACTGACTGTTTTTCCGGATGTTAGGAACGCACTCAGTCGAGCTTGAGGATAGCATTGTGAAAATGAAGATCCCATGGTTGACTGGATCAACTGAGGACTGAGTGTGAAGATAAAGTCTGAAGGATGGATGATCAATCCAGATCGAAACACATTTGTACCCGAATGAAACGGTAAACACAGTCCTACTCAGGATTAAAATTACACAACTCATAGGTACCAGGGGAAAACGGTTTACAAGATTTAGGAGTGTTTAATCGGACGATGGGTTCAAACTGATAATTGTGATGCGAACAAGGGACACATTCACTTACTTTAGAGACCATTTCGCGTAAATAATAGCCCTCCAGGTGGATATATCCACCTATCAGATCTTGCATTTGACGAACCGTTTGACACTGGTTAAACAAGTTATTCGCGTTTTTCAGTTTTGCTATTTGATGTGATGTGTCAGATCCGACAAATGAGAATAAGTTTGGTGGGGGAAAAACCAAGGTCAAGAAAAGAAATTTTAGTGCAGGAACAGGCAAATGTATAAAATCATCGTGAAATGATCAACACAGCATACTGCTAGTTCGGTTAAGAACTCCGAAAAATTGCATCATTCAAATTACATTGCATTCACAAAACTGAATCACAAAGATAGTGCGTTTGCTAATCAGAAGACGGGACATTGTCAAATAAACGGAACGACTTGGAAACGATTTGGTAAAAAGTAATCCACGGTAAGCTGAGTGACATATCATGGTAAGCTACTTTCTTTCTGAAGTGATTAGATGAGGACATGACTTTCAAGGCGTTTTGTGATCGATAAGGCCCACATGAGGTGGTACAGTTGTGTAATATATCCGACTGAGGTAGAGTTGTATGCCGACAGGCCGCGGATAGGAAAACGTTAATCTCATTGGTGGAGAGTTTAGATTTACTGAGCAAGCGGTCGTGGATGAGCGCGGTGACTGTGGTCGACGACGTGTTGTATATTCATTCATCTAGCAAACAATCCCCTTGTAAAACATCTGAAGCATCTGACAACTATACTGTGATGTGATGAATGAAAGGATATCGATCTTGTCTCTTTCCATCCACTCGACAAAGCTTTCCAGGGGAAGTTTCAGTGTTTACAATCATCATGCACTTTCGTGCGCCGATTTTGGTTGCTGTCTTTTGGCCGCCCATTTGGATAAAATAGTAGAATGAAAATTGCAATGTTGAGATCACAGTCAGGGAGAATATAGAAAATTCATATAGACTGGGGTTGCAAGAATAATGAGTAGATGCCTGAGGATCACTGTTTGCGACACCCAGCCATATCACTGTCTCTAACCACCTGTGATCATGATCTCTGGGTCCCCATCCAGGAAGCCTAACGGGACCTATGTGACCCGGTCCCCTGGTTAGGGTTTTCACACCCTCATGCCAGGTCTTAGTTTGACCGCCCATCGGCTACCTGCCTCAGTAAACATCGCTCGCTTTGAAAACCAACCAACCAGCGTAGAGATGTCGACCATTAAACGACCAGGAGTATGTAAAATTCTACTCCTAATCTCAGCATTGCTCGTCCGGTTACCCCACCAGACTTGTGTAATTGGACGTTGAGAGCAGTTTTAGAAAAGCTTTGCTGTCGTCCAGTTCAATACTGCATCTAACCTAGTGGGACCTTACGTGGTTCGCCACTCCAAATCCAAGGGGCTCAGTTTACTGGTTTCTATTACTGAACAGCAGGTTCTCGTGACTATGGGGTCCACACCGTCAGCTGTTCGTCACACTAAAAACTGTGTATTAAAAAATCTATTTTCATCCTTTTCCCGTAATGGCCAAGTCTCTGCACCGTATAGCAGCATTGCCCGAATTACTGCTGCATATGCTCGACCCTACAAGGATAGTTGAATGTCGCGACGGTGCCACATATGTCTCAAGTTGGCAAATACCAACCGAGCCATCTATATGCGTGCCGACACTTCATCCGTGATGCGTCCTCTAGGTGAGTTATAGCTGCCTAGATAGAAAAAATTACCTATTCCCTCTAATACTTATTCAGTCAGGATGAGATTGGGGGCTGAACTAACCTAATTTTGTAGAAATATTTTATACTTTTAAGTTTGGCTCACTGGCCTCCTTCGGAGAAACTAGAACGACTGAACTGTCTGGCAGAATGCACCCAACTATGAAAAAGGTTAGACGTGTGATCCTGAACAATGCTGAAGACTGTCCATGGGTCTTTGCAGTCCACGGAGCCGATTTGTCCTCTAACAGGAGATAGTTACGTAAAATAAAAATGAAAATAATGGGTGGTAAAACAGGCACAGAACTGAATCATGGATCTGCAACATGCTTACCAATCATAAATTGATCGGATTGAGCTAGGAACAGAGTTTTGATGATATACATGTGTTTCACGAAGACCGGAAAATTCACGAGTACAGTTTTGATAAATACCGAAAAGAAATAATCGAGGAGATATGCGATGGAACTGCTGGCAACAACCGAGAAAGAGAACCTTCGGGATTGGGAGCTGAAACTGTGAGTCCCGAATGTACACGGTTGACGGGCAGCAGCGCATGGCTACATGGACAGCCGCGCGAATTCACGAACACGACGGATTGTGGATTGCGCTCTTGTGTGGATTGCATTGACACTCAAATTCACAATGGAATACAATGGGGAGGAGCATTTGAAATGCAATACCACGTGAGGAATCAACGAGTTCTGAAGGAGTGAGACACACACACAAACAAACAACAAAATTCGGATAGACTCGCTGTCCGTGACTTTGTGCGGATCAGATGTATACCGATGGTGAGGATATCCTATTCATGTGGCAATTGTGGCTGAAAGCGCATGTGTTCCTATTGTGGCCTGCAATAGACTGTTACGTTTGTCGTGCAAGCCTATGGCCGGATTGATCGAACGGCTTCAGCCAATCAGATGTTAGTATTTGGCAGTCCGCTCTGATTGATTGATTAACTGTTTGAATACCTGCTTGACCGCAATCGGATGCGGTGTGACGCGTGAGCCGATTGTCGGTATGCCTACCTATCTCCCCACGTGATTTTTACTCCTGCTTGCTCATCGGCCTGCCGACCGGCTACGTGAGTGCCCACTACAATAAAAGTACCGCCTAATTCATTGCGTGCTCATTAACCGACTAAACGGGACACAACAAGTACCTATGCATCAGATCCGAGATAGGATTCGGACAAGGAAAGGGGTGTCCCGTGACAATAGATTACTGTTNGTTAACGTTTCCCTGGTTTTTTCAACCATTCAATTTTTTGGTGCTATGTGTATTTTCTCATTAGCGAAAAACTGATTTCGCGATTTAAAAAAACAAACCATGAATAAAACAAAAATAGCTGGATAACAAAACAAAATGTGAAGAAAAAAGTCAGATGAATACGTCAATATTGCCGGCAGCGCGGGACAACGTCGTGCCACCGTTGCAAACGGGGACTGGCATGAGGATGCGATGTGGCAATCACTCACCTTCCAGCTCATCCGCGGATAATTCGGCACTGTTTAGATCGGACTGGAAAAAAAGGAATAGATGATCTATACTAGAGGGAAAACTGGCAACACGGATCGAAGAAATCCATAAATCTTATGCCAGGGCAATATATATATATATATATGCAGTAAATACAATGAATCGCCTTAGTTAGGAAAACTACTCTGGTAAAGACATCGAAATGATGAAATCAAACCGGACAGCTGGACTATCTATCGACACTGGAATGGTTCGAAGTACGATACAGTCACGAAGCCCATAAGGACAAAATCGGATTTTATTCATTTGTTATTGCATGTCTTAGCATAGTAGATACCGAAATTGGATAAATCTAAGACAAGGTGTTGAGCAAGCAACAGAAACGCTGTGTCTCATAATAAACAAAAGCCAATGACCTGACGCGAAACTCAGAGCCGGACGCATGATAGTGACGTTGACGTAAACCGCACGAGGCCCCTAGGAAACTACCGGCGGATTTTGTGCTTGAAGGTGAACAGATTATAAAACAGAGAATAAGAGATGTGCGAGGATGTGGTTAATCTGAAAAAGTTCTCGGATTAAGAACATACGAGGGTCGAGAGAAATTGAACAAATAGAGAGACTCGAAACCTGCTTCTCGGTTTCACAGATCAATGTGAGAGAGAGAGGAGAGAAAGAATCACAGAAGAAAGCTGAGAAGAGCAAAACACGTGAAGTTATCAAGGGAAAGGGGACAGAGAAACGATTATACGGTGAAAAACAAAGGCTGCTGGTGTTCAAACACAACAACTACCTAGACTGCATTGCGGGAGTCTGGTGGTATAACTGGACAATTAATGTCAATGTATAAGATAATCACGTTCCTGTACTAATCAATTGGTTGTTACAACCAATGGAGCATGTGTTATGCATGCCACTAGATAGAGTTCGTCAGCCGGCAAGTTATAGTCAGACGATAAATAGCCGACAATAAATGAAAACCTTGACCAACGAACTTGGTCATAAAGGTCGAGGTGAGGTACATTTAGAATTAATTTAATCCCAGGTTTGAGATACCGGGTGATACAGTTGAGTCTCATACTTGATGGCGCTCAAGCATTTATCCACTTTCTATGCACATATACTTTCCCCCATGCCACGCCTTTGTCTTGATACCACTCCACGATTTATTCTGAATCCTCTCTTTTGCTTACATACATTATGGTATGATGAACAGCAGACAAGATAAACCCCATAGTAAAGAGCACCCATGGTTCAATCGTAAACTCACAAAGAGTTTGAGAGAAGACTGAGAAACCTGGTGGACGATACGTGTAAAGGAAATGGAATCAGTAGCTAGGTGTGGAAACACCCGGCAACTATCCCAACTCATGCGTGCTACGGGCCCCAAAAGACAGAGCGTTAATGAAATAATCTGCGAAGTAGACGGTACAGTTTTCACCGACGCTTGGAACGCTGGGCAGAACACTTCACATCGTAGTTCAACCAGCCTTCCGCGCCAGCTGTCCCAAACAGTTCTCTTGAGAGTGCACTCTGATTACTATTCACTGGACCGACCACAGAAGCGGAGATCCGAAAGGAACGCCAAGTCCTGAAACGCTACAAGCCACCTGCCCTCTTTAAAGTGAATCGATTGTTACTTCCATCGACAAGAAGGGCTGCCGCAACACCTGTTTCAACCACAGCGACATAAACCTGATTCCAATGGCGCTGAAGCTACTAGCATCCGTTTTACTAAGCATACTAGGGCCATTTGGTGAAAGGCAAATCCGCAAGGAAAAGACTGGGATTCGTGCACGCCGTGGTTGCATACATCAAATGGATAGGTTGCCCGAATTGCGAAAGGGAAATGCGCTATCAGCATCAGTGAACCATTATCAGTTTTTCTTCCCTTTAATCATGCAAATGATAGTTCCATGACAGAGTCCGTTAAAGTCGAATTACTTTTTATGTCTAACGCAAAAAAATTTCCAACTGTCTGCTCACGTAGCAAGTATTTGTCCGAAGGGTTATGACCACTTTTCTTCTCTTGGATTTTTGTACAAAATCTACGGTACCTCCTTTGGGGTTTATTTATTTTTGCCTTGAATCATGTAGGCCAAGAAGTTTTAATTTCTGAAGAATGATTCATGGAAGCGGACGCTGAATGTACCGATCCACACTTATTTTACTTTGCAAGTTTCCCGTGAAGGCTCGTTCGCATCTTTTTTTTCTCGGTTGTTGCGATGACCTCAGACATCCCAACACATCGATCTGTTGCATCATTTGTCAATTTTATGCCTTCCATTTTGCAAAACATTTGGATTTACACGGTTCAAACTGAGCAGTTTATGGAAGTATACAGTATTGTATGTATTGTATATATTGCGCCTGTCGCCAAATAGCTTACCACTGTGCGAGATGTCTGCCGCGACAGGAAGCGATTGGAAAAAGGTCAAGGGTGATCAAATTAAGACCTGATATGAGGGTATGAAAACCCTAACCAAAAGACTCGGTCATATAGATCGCGGTAGGCTCCCTGGCTGGGGACCCCGCGATCATGGTCACCCATGATTAGAGACAATGAGCGATATGGTTAGGTGATGCAGACAGTAGCATTCGTGCATCTACCCGTTATTCTTGCAACTCCAGTCTATATGAATCCGCCGTCGCGATATCCGGCTGTCTGTGAAGGGTCGAGTGTATGCTGCAGCAGTTCGGCCAGTCCTGGTCTACTGTGCAGAGACTTGGCCACTAAACAGGATAAAAACAGATTGTCAGTGTTCGAACACCGCTGTCTACGTAGCATTGCACGTGTCTGGTGGGGTAACCGGACTAGCAATGCTGAGGTTAGGCGTAGAGTTTTAGGCAGTCGCGGTCGTCCACTAGAGCAAGTGATCGACCTCCATAGATTACGCTGGTTGGGACATGTGCTACGCATGTCACCAGATAGGTTGCCACGGCGAGCTATGTTTGCCAAGGCTGATACCGAATGGAAAAAGATAAAGGGTGGTCAAATGACGACCTGGCGTGAGGGTATGAAAACCCTAACCAGGAGACTAGGTCACATAGGCCCCGTTAGGCTCCCTGGATGGGGACCTCGGGATGATGGTCACCGATGGTTAGCTACACTGGGTGTCGCAAACAGTGGTGCTCGTGCATCCACTCGTTATTTTCCCAACACCACTCTATATGTATTCCCCAGCTTCCGCTTGAATTTGCTTCAACATTCTAATCTTCATTTCGCTCTTTTATCCAAATGAGTGGCCAAAAGATAGCAACCAAAACCAGCGCACGAAAGTGCATGGTTAATGGTTGCAAAAACTGAAACTGAAACCATATGAATCCCTTATTTTCTTTTTGACTTCACTCTCAACATTCCAATCTTCATTTTGCTCTTTTATACAAATGAGTGGCCAAAAGATAGCAACCAAAACCAGCGCATGAAAATGCATGGTTAATGGTTGTGAAAACTTCAACTGAACCCACACACACTCTGAAAGGAGAAGAATGTGTTGTGATAGTATTTTCCAATATTCGTCATATCTTCATGTCCAAAAAAGCCAAAAAGTGGAATTTTGGAATTCAGGCTTTTCATTTGACGACTGTATTACTAATCAAAAATGGATGTTATGCTTCGCCTAGAATTGAAGATGGTGCGAAAACCTTGAAAGAGCTGAACGAAACTTTGTCGCGAACTGAATACTGAGAAAAATATGACAACTTGTTTGTGCATGCCTACTGACGTAGCACTCACCCTTAAAAATCCTTGTTCAACTATGTTTATTTAGTTTATTATTGCAGAGATCAAGTGACATGTGCGGCGTCGAATGTCATCATGAGAATGTTTAAAATATGGAGACTACACACATGAAACAGATGCACAATATAGGGGCATGAACTCACCGTAACATGGCGACGCATGAACCTCATGTACAGATCAATCCGTGTATTTAGAAGTACAATTTCTGATAAGATTGGTTCCAGAGTGAGAACACGTTCCAGTTGAACTTGTTCCGCCGACGAAACTGTCCCCACCACACCGGCAGTGTTTCCCGCAGAACCGCCAGTGCCGACCATGTTGGAAAGTAGACCCGGGTGAGCGAGTTTCCCACCCGAACCGACGGATGGTTGAATGAGACGAAATAGCTCGGACAGACGATGCTGTGCCCGGAATCGATCAAGCACGCGACGCACGAGCGTGTCACATTCAGTCTGGATAAGGCTAATAATACCAAACAAGTGTCCCGGACCTGAAAGAAAGCAGGAGAGTAAAGATACATTGTCAGGATCAGTTATCTGGTCACGTCAAAAGTTCACCACCCACCCCAACCCCCACAGTTGTTTGTTTTTCTGTCTGACCCACCGGAACTTAAAAAAGTGCATTGACAAAACTTAGTCGCTAAACCGGGTGAGATTGTCTATTCTGCGTTGGAGATCACTTCAACTGCGATCGTTTCGACGTGGTCATTAGCTATTTTGCACATGTTTCTTTTGAATTATTTGTTCTCATTTTATACAGCAATAGAACAATTCAAAAATTATTACACGATGAAATGCTGCAGATTTTACTTAGTAAGTAGCAAAAGATGAGCACGATAACTGTTGATATGACCAAAAACCCAAGTAGCCCTGTCATTATTT